ATTTGGAAAAGAAGGAAAGTAGCAAATATTTCCATAAATAAAAAGGGCCGAAGCCCATTACGAGTTTTTGTTTTTTAAAAAAAAAAAAGAGAGAGAAGTGAAGAAATTGGAGAACATTTATGGGAGAGGCTCAGGAACAGGCTCCTTCATCGCCGGTTTAGTCTTCGAAGTGGACGCCTTGTTTTTGGCATCCACTTCGGAACGATCCCGAAGGTGTTTCCGGCAGTCGCTGGCCTCCTCCTCCAAGTCCTCTTCCTCTTCATCGTCGGATGGAACGGCGAAGACGGGGGCGTTCACGGGGCCCGGGACTCCTCTAGCGCGGAGATACATCCGAAGCATCTTCGGGATCTCAGCAACGGAGTCAAAGTTCCGCCACTCCCATTGAAAGGGATCGCTCTCCAGGGCTCGTATCTTCCTTTCCACCCGGGCGATGCGAGCCTCGAGCGTTTGCCTTTTGAGGCCCAGCCGCTGCCTCTCTTCACATAAGCGACGGTGCTTGTCGGCGACCTAACAAAAAAAAGTGAATAATATGAAGCAAAAAGTTTTTAAGTCAAGAACTTTAAATATTTACCTTGTCGATGAAGTCGCAAGCCTCTTTCTTCTCCTTTGAAGGGAAGTGAAATACGGCGTGAGGAAAGAGAACGCCAGCCGGTTCAAATCCGTCGCCGGACAAGAAAAGTGGGCTGCCGGGAGCGATGGGGGCTACTTCTTCGTTTTCCATCCTTAAAATATTTCTCAAGTGAGATTCTATAGTCATGTTTAATAAAGCCTAGAGGTAGGTAAGCTTTTATTTATAATGATTTAGGGTTTGTCTTGGAAACATAAATTCATTAATGGTAGCGTGCCCAAGTGGTTTAAACCATTTTTGGAAAATCGAGAAAAGGCAATTATTACATTAAAAGACGAGCCGTGCTCTTTAAGAAGCGAAAAAGCAACCGTCGCATTAACTGCAAAAGTTTCTAAGGCCCAAGCCTGACAAGTTTACCGAGTTGACTAAACCCGAAGTGGGGAACTCGCTTTAAGCCGAGCTCAGCTCTCGCATTCTAAAGAGAAAGGTCTGATCAGCCTAAAAATCTCGAAAAGCATTGCCACAAGGCCACAAAAGGTTAAAAGCGGACTTTGCAAACCCGCATTTAATTTTAACCAAACCCCCTTGGGTCACAACCTAGAAAGGTTTAAAAGCCTCCTCAGGCAAATATCTTGTTCAAAAGAAAATAATAATAAAGCCTCCTTAGGCAAAAATAAGTGTGAAATTAAGTCTTAAAAATAAAGGGACAATCCCCAATTTAAAGTGGACACAGCCACTACGGAGCAGCAGCCACCTCGGAGTCCGGCTCAACAGTCGAAGCTTCATTCACGTCCTTGGCAGCTGCTTGATCAGATGAAGCTTCCTGACCGCCCTCCACGGTACAACCAACCTCCGGAGTGACCTCCGACACCATAGGAACTACGGGCGGGACAACGTCCTCCGCCCCACTTGAGCCTAGGAATAATAATTCCAGTCAATCAAAGGTGCAAGAAAAGGAAAGGTAATAAACGTCAGGAGCCAAGCATTACCTGCCCAGTCTAGACCTGATTCGCTTATAGGAGGCGATTCGGTGAAGAATTCCTCGAAGTCCTGAGGGTTGAAGGTCGAAGTAGGAAGAGCTGCCAAGCGACTTCGCTTTTCAGAAAGATTAGCCGATAGTTCGGTTCTCTCTTGATCCTCGGAGAAATCTGCGTCATGGATTTGATCCAGCAGGATCAGGTTGCTCTCGTGCTCCTTGATGTCAGATTCCAGGTCAGACCTAGCCTTCTCAGTCTGCATGAATCGGATGGCCCCTTGGATCAACTCCATCCCGCGTCCCTTGACCTCTTTTCTGGCTTTTGATGCCGACCTCGCCAACTCGGAGTCACGCAATTTGGCGATCGCCTTGTACTTCGCGTTGAGCTCGATGAGTTGGTTGTTCAGGGAATCAGCGTTTGATTCGGACTCTTGAAGCCTACCTTGAATACCAGAAAACTCTTCCTGGAGTTTGAAGTTCTGGTCGTACTGACCCTGCAGCTCCCCCTTTATCTGCGCAAGCTCGGATGCTAAATTGTCGACTTTGTCCTCCAGATCATGCTTGGAGCCGGCAGAAGAACTGAGTTCGGCCTCAAGGGCGGAGAGTTTCTTCGTCAACATGTCAATCTCCTTCTCCCGGCCAATGACCAACCCTTCGTAATGTTCGATCATGTCGTTAAATTCGCTTTGAGCCTGGCGTTATACATAAACCCGGGATGATGAGTCAGTTCGCAGAAAGGCAATACAATAAAAAATATACATAAAAGAAAGCGGGACTAACCCGAGATGAGTGATGCGCGTGAAGCAAATAACGTTCACGAATCGCAGGGCGCCATTTGTTGAAATCTGGCAAGATCGAACCAGAACGGGTCTTGAAGCATCGGAAGACGCTGCCTTCTGTCTCCATAGCTGCTAAGAAGGAAGAATTGCAAAAATTGGAATTTTAATAAAGACAAAAGTTTAAAGTGTGTGTAAATCACCAAACCTGAAAGCGATTTGACTTGAGGTACAAGAGCAGGCTTCAGCCTCGAGGGAGCATCTCGAGATTCAGAATCTCCTTTTTTCGGAGACGTGCTCCGGGCGGTCTTTCCACTATCAGGCTGGGAAGAGGAAGACATGTCAACCGGTCGTGGAGGACCCATTGGTTCAGAAGGAGGGGATGACCGAGGTGAGCGGTCAGTCCGGGCCCTTGACTTTTCCCTCTGCGGGGAAAGATCACTACGAGAGGACTTGTCTCTCTTTCGGCGAACCAAGTTCTTAATTGGCTCGTTACTAAAATCATCTCGGGAAGGACGAGGTGAATCACGGCGAGGAGATCGATCCCTCCGAGGAGAACGTGAGTCGCGACGATCACGACGAGGAGTTAATCTGAAGGAAGCGACAGATCGAGCTCCCTCAGTACTGCCATCATCGACCAGCAAGGTCCTACTATAGTCCTTCTTGTCTATAGATGTCGCGAGAAACTTTTTCTTCTCCTCGCAAGCCTCAGCCATCGGCTTGGAAAGCAACTTACGCTTGGCCGCAAGGGCCCGAGATGACATTCCCTGAGTTGAGGGAGGGGGAGGAATTTGGTGAAGATGACCAGGCGGACTCATCCTGAGTCTGTGGTTAGCCTCTATGAATCGTTCGAGAGTGAAGGAATTCCAAAGGGTTTCCCCTTCAAGAATTATTTTGAAGAATTCGATGAACTCTTCAGATGGGAGATTGGAAGCGATGAAAGCTGCGAAATGAAACAACGATGTTAGTTAATAAAGATAAAGAAACAACTGGGAAAGATACGGGCGACCTAATCTCTACCAGGTTTCGCCGACCACTTCGAAGGGAGGAAATCTGCAAGATTTCCAATCGAAGCGGGAGTTTTCTTAATCAAGAACCAAGGATGATGCCAATTTTCATCCTTGTTTGGAAGATGCGAAATGATGTTCCTGTTGGCGTTAGGATATGCTGAGAAATACCCCGTTTTCTTCGACGAGCTTCTCACGCTTAGAAGCTCATTTAATTCGGCAACTCCGATAACGTAACCGGCCTCCGCCGCGATTGTTATAATGCCGAGAATAGTACGAAGAAGATTGGGGGTTAATTGAGGAAGAGCGATTTCAAGGGCCGCTAGGTATAAAATTAGGGCTTCGGGAAGAGGAAAGGTCAGCCCGCAACCTTTGAAATAAATCTCATACACACAGAAGTAACCATCGCGATGGTTCTCTGGAGATTCTGTGGGGGAAGCTATTTGTGCTTCCGCCATAATTTCCGGCGAGATCCGGCAAAGCTCTCTCAATCGCTCGAGGGATTGAAGAGTACAAGTGGACCTATAGTGCGGACCGGCAATGTCACCGGGGCGGGTGCACTCGTCGTTACTAGAACGCCTCTCGTCAAAAGACGGAGACTCGGGTCTATCGGAATCAGAAGTCATTGGTAAGAAAGAAAAATTCAAGATCCGGCGAAGAAGGGTTTTGGTGAAGGAAAGAAGAGAGAGGTTTTGATTAAAGTACAAAAGTAAAAGAAGAGAGTAATGGTGAAAAGAAGTTACCTCAAGATAATGATGAAACCGCCTCGGGAGTCGTGTGGGAAGTGGGAAGGTTTTTCCCGTTTTAATAGTAATTAATCAATATGCGGTCATAATGATGACAGATGTCACTCGGTTAAAAATGGCTAGTGCCGAAATTAAAGGAGTGATGAGATTTTCGGCGGGAAATCAGAAAGATTCTCGAGCGCAATCTTTGGCCACTTGAGCATTTAAAGTCCTCCGAATTGGAATAGCACTTCGAAGAACTTGGGGGGCTAATTGTTGGTGTCGGATCCCGCACCAGAAGTACGAGACCAACCAAAGATTGCCACGTAGTCAAGCGGGTGGCCCATAAAAGATGAAGCCCATTGGGCCCATGAACCGAGGGGACGGTCGAAGTGGTTGTCACCACTTCGAGAGTCCGAAGTGACTGTACTGAGATGTGAGTTCGGTGTAGAAGACGCGGGTAGGTCGGTTCAAGGACACTTGGGCCAAAAGAGGCGAGGCCCATGAAGATCAGAGTCAACTCAAATTCGAACGTTGAGCATTAAAGCCGAAGAATCAAAACGGACATATTTAAGAAGGAATAATTGTACTTAATTATCCATTTTAATGTCGCTTATCTATGTATAAATATAGAGGCCAATGGCCATGTAAAGGGGATCTTCTCTCAAAAGAAAGAAATACTATAGCAATTTTCGTATCAATTTACAAGTTTTTACGCATTCATTTTTGTCCCTCAAGAATTATCTTTCCCACTTAACAAAATACTTGAGTGTGTGAATCCGACATCCACAGGTCACCGCCCGCTTAGCGCTTAGCGCTTTCTTGAACACTGATACACATACTCATCTGTGCAACAATGAACGATAAATTAAACAATTAATTGAAAAAATCAAACATTTTAAAAATAATTCGATTGTTTAAAATCGGGTGATTAAACTGTACATAAATTAACAACTAATTTGCTAAATCAAACCTATAGAGAGGTTGGTTAATGTATCCGGATTAATAGAACCAATTTGCTTTGACCCTGTTTTTAGGAGGATTCGGTGCAAATGTAGATTTTTAAGTACCAACAGTTTAACCCTGGGAGCTCTTAACGACTCGCATTCCTTGAGGTAAGTCCTTAAACATTGATCATTCTAGTCTTTGATTTTCTAGACCTTGTTCGTGAGTACACTGTAACTTGTTAATGTTAAGAGTGTTGCTCGAACTTGTAGAGACTTGGAGTGAACTCTACTCTATCTTACTTTTATTGTGGTTCGATTTTCGAATACTAGGGTTTCATTTCTCATCTTCATGTTCAGGTAGTTTGATTGCAAGGAGTCTTCATTAATGGGGAATCCAGTCGATAACAAGTTCACTTGGGTGATTAAGAATTTTTGCTCTGTGAGCTCCAAGCCCATTTATTCAGATCAATTCTTGATTGGTGGCTACAAATGGTAAAAAGACAACAAAAGTTATCTAATGTTTTATTTCAATATAGGTTTGCGAGGATATCCATTGTTTAATTTGTATGGTTTTTGCTTGCAGGCATATTTTGGCCTATCCCAAGAAACGAGATGGTCATCAATGCTTTTGTCTGGATCTGGAACTTGTTGATTGTGAATTCTTGCCTTCTGGATGGAGAAGCGTCGTGAAGTTTTCTTTTACTGTCGTAAATTATTTCTCGAAGAAACTCTCAAGCCAGATAGGTGATTAGTGGTTACTACTTGCGCTGCAAGATTCTATTAGAAAATGCTTATTTTCAAGAAAGTTTTATGTTTCGCGTGACTTTTGACAGGACTAAAACACTTGTTTACTAAGAAGGAACGAAGCAAGGGTTTATCCGTGATTCACTTTAGTGAACTTACGGACAAAAAACGTGGGTTTCTTGTGGATGGAGAAGTCGAAATTGTTGCTCAGATAGATGTTCGTGAAACTGATCATAAATTACAAGGATCAAAGGACTATGACATGGAAATGCAATATTTGAATGGGATGGCAACGACATTTTTCATAAACAAAGAGCCCAATGATGATGACAAGGCAGGTTTGGTGAATGTCAAGGGGTTTCAAGTTCTTCCTTCACAGGTAAGAAACAATGAAAATATGTAGACTTGGCATTCTTCTTCTGGAGATTACTTATGGTTCAAGTTATAAACACTTCTAAATACAGAAAATGAAATAAAATCTCTACTTTAAAAGTCAACTCACTATATACTTTATTCATCTTTTTTTTTACTCGCAGTTGGGTATTGTGAATCGCATCTTTGAGAAACACCCGGAGACTGCATTAGAATGCTGTACAAAGAACCAAGAACTGAGAGCATCATACATAAATGTCATCTTTAGCCTAATCAAGATGCTCTACAAAGGGGCTCAGGAACACTCCACACATGATCTGTCTGATGCAGAAGGTGCTCTGGCATACATGAAAAATGTAGGGTTTAAGTTGGATTGGTTGGAGAAGAAACTTGATGAAGTAAAAGAAATCAAGAAGAAATGTGAACGGGTGACTGAAATGCAGCAAGAGCTGCATGACTTGATGAATAAGCACACAAACGTAAGTATACTGCTGGAAAAGGAGATGTTAGAGATTAAGAATGCTTCAGCTCCTGATCTATCTTTCAGTGATGTTATTTGATGACTCGTGTTCTTAGGGACTTGATGTTTGGTTCTGTCTTTTTCTTTATGTTCTAGTCTCTGGTCGTTAATAAGAGTCTCTGTTTAACCGAGAAAAAACACGAGTATTAATTTTTTTAAAATGCACAATTGTTAATCAAAAAGTAAAAATAAATTTGACTATTAAAAACGATTATTTAATTAGAACTGTAGGAGTGGTTCCAGAAACGCCTATCAACTGAAAAACCCTAGCTCCCTTAGAGCATCTCCAATGGAAGAAAAATAGAGCTCTCATGACAGTTTCTCTGAATTATTGTGAAAAAAAAAATCAAAAAGCTTTAATATTAAGAGAAACGATTCTCTTAAGAGAGATTTTGGAGCTGAAGAGAGACGCCTACGTGTCGTTGTCTTTTTCAGTATTTCTTTTCTTTCGTTTTTGTCCCGACTATCTCTCTCTTTCTTTAGGCGAGATGGCGATGGAGAAACTGAGACTTTGAGGATCATCGGACTTACCTGAAACGGAGATGGCCGACGTTGATTCCGGTAGGCTTATCGGCTCTGAGATTCATGGATTCCATATTTTGCAAGGTTTGTTCTTCTAATCTTATCGTTCGTCTTGATTCATAGAACTGTTTTTGTTTGTTCTTACATTCGATTGTCTCTCGGTTTTCATTGTCCGATTGTTTTCCTTTTATTTTGTCTGTCTGGGTTTTGGACTTTTATTCTCGATTGCTCTTTGATTCTCGTAGCTATTGAACTAGAATTTGCAAAATGTTGTGGAATTTGAGATTCTTTGTGATTTTAATATGGTGATTTGGAAAAGAATTCAGGGACATTCTAGGTTGATTAAGGGATCTTGGATTTGAGCTATCCATCTAACGTGAAGAATCTATTGGAAACTGGTATACTTGAAGGAGCTCCAGTGAAGTATATTTCGACACCACATGTGGTAAAGTCTGAATCTTTGTGTTTTGATAGTTTTCTTTAGGGTGTTTTGTATCTGACTTATATCACTTTTGATGGCTAATAGAGAGAGCTTCAGGGGATAATCCATTCGGGTGGGTATTTGTGTGGCTGTATCAGTGAAAGTAAGTCAACTAGAGAAGCCATTGACATTCATCATGTGATTATCAACGGAGGCAGAGCAACTGGTTATGCCCGTCGTAGGGGGATTGGTTTCTTCCTTGTGCTTCTGGCGAGTTCTATGTACTTTTTTCTTGGAAAGGTAATGATACTTTTAGGGGAAATTTGGTTGTGCTGATTGTTATTTAGTTATGAATCTGCTTGACATTTGAGTAATTCTGAGGCATTGCTTAGAACAAGTGTTGCTAATGCATATTATGAGAAAGGCATACCATTTTGTTTATTACGATTGATGATGGAGTATAGTTTGATAGTTTTCATTCTGTTTCAAGGTTTGTTTTAAGAGCACTTTACTTAATTTGTGTTACATTACAAGCTTGTTTTGTTGTTGTTCCATCTGTTTCTTCTTCATTCGAATTGAAAAGTGATAATTAACATGAAACAGGACAATCCAGCTAGAACTCTTTCTTGGGGCTGCCTTTATGTTTGGTCAAGATGTCTACTGCATTTCTATTCTCTCCTATCTCATTCCTCTTTATTTACTTGCTTTCACATGGTAAGGAATTGTGAATATATGGTCTCAGCCTCTCATGTTAGACAATTCTTCTAAAATTCTCATTGCTAGATGGAGGAAAATGTTTTTAGCATCGGATTTTGTTTTTAACAAAAAAAAAATAAGTTCTTTCAAAAACACATAAATTTGATCAAGTGTTTCAATAACACTTACATACAAATTTTCAAAGTGAGAAGCAAGATATATATGAAACCACACTAAAACATTTCTCCCGGTTATTATTTCCACATTACTACTCTGAAACTCAGTTTTGTTGAAGACTTCAAATCATGTAATGGGTACTTTAAACCTTTTAGAACATTCTTATTCATATGTACATTTCATTACCAAATTCCTTATTAATCATAGTCTCTTTTTTTAATTGAGTTTTATGAAATAAAATAATTTTATAATAATATATTTTTTTGAGAGAACCCTACTAAAAGAGACTACCATTGGACTATGAAAAATCTTTTAAAAAAAACATAAGCTCTCATCTAACAAATTCAAAAAATTTATACTTAAAAAATGGTGAGAGCCCATTGGATGGCTCTCACCATTGGAGATGGTCTTAGCGATTCGCATACCTCGTGTGCGTTACTCGAAATCAGTCCCATAGTAATTCTTGGTAAATCCTTAACCATTGATTTTTCTAGTCTTTAATTTTTTCCCTGGACCGTGTTCGTTATAACTTTTTAAAAATCTTGATGTACGGTGAGAGTTTTACACTGCGATTCCATAAGGAATTTGTAAATCTCTCTATTTAATTTTGTTTTGTTCCTCGAGATTGTTGTTCGATTGCTCAGGTTATAGGGCCTAAGTTCTATACATGTTTTGGTAGTTTGATTGCATGGAGTCTTCATTAATGGGGAATCGAGTTGATAATAAGAAGTTTACTTGGGTGATTAAGAATTTTTCCACTTTGCAATCTGAGAAAATCTATTCAGACAAATTTGTGATCAGCGGCTGCAAATGGTAAGAAAATAAACTTGTTTTCTAATCGTTTTCGCGCAATTTAGGATTTAATGTCACATCCATATATTGTTCTATGTGGTTTTTGCTTGCAGGCGTCTTTTAGCCTTTCCCAAGGGAGATAAAGTCAAATGTTTATCTCTGTATCTTGAAGTTGCTGATTTTAAATCCTTGCCTTCTGGATGGCGAAGAAACGTAGAATTTACGATAACTCTAGTAAAACAATTTTGTGAGAAATTCTCACTAGCGAAAGGTGATTCTTTCGATAGCTTTTTTCTCTTTTAGTCGTGGGACTTGTGCTGCTCCGTAATACTATGTTGTGTAATGCTTGTTTTGACTACAGTTCTATCTTTAATTCTCAGTAACACAACATTGGTTAGACCACAAGGTACCAGACTGGGGTTTTAAATCCATGATTCCCCTTACCACACTTCATGACAAGGATGGTGGGTTTCTTGTGAACGATGAACTCAAGATTGTTGCTGAGGTCGATGTTCTTGAAGTTATTGGCAAACTAGATGTACCCGGGGAATCTGAAGAGGAAACCCAACCTGTGAAAAAGATAAAGCAGAATGATGATGGTGCGGTGTCTAGTGATCTGCTTAAGGAGATTCCAGGAGATTTGGTGGATGTCAATGGGTTTCAAGTTCTTCCTTCACAGGTAAGAATACTTAAGAAAGATGCAAACTTGGCATAACTTTTAAGAAATTCCAAGCTCAATACACTTTAACATCAGCTGTGAAACTATGTTGTTTTCTCTTTTTGGCAAATTACGTCTGATTGAAATGAGGCTTGTGTCCTATTGCTTTTAATCACACCTTCTTTTTCTCAAAGGTGGGTTTTGCGAGGCGTATCTTTGAAAAACACCCAGAGACTGCATCAGAATGCCGTACAAAGAACCAAGATCTGAGAACATCATACATGAATGTCCTCATAAGCGTAATCAAGATGCTCTTCAAAGGACCTGAGGAACACTCCAAGGATGATCTGTCTGATGCAGAAGCTGCTCTGGCATACATGACACATGTAGGGTTTAAGTTGGATTGGTTGGAGAAACAACATGAAGAAGTAAAAGAAAGAATGAAGAAATGTGCCCGGGTGTGTGAAATAGAGAAACAGCTGCATGACTTGGAGCACAAGTGCAAAGACCTAAAAGCTCAGCTGAATAAAGAGAAGGCGGAGATTTTGGAGGCAACAGCTCCTGATCTTTTTTTCATTGATGTTGTTTGATGACTTATGGTCCTAGGGACGTGGTTTGGTTCTGTTTTTTGTTGCTCTGGTCTCTGTTCGTTTAAGAAGAGTCCTCTGCTTTGACTTAGGATTATATGCCAGTCAAGGTTTAATTTCCACATTTTTGTAACTACACTTAAGAAAGGATTTCGTGGTTGATGACAGTCTAATCTTCTTTATTGCACTGTGTGTTTCTTGATGAAAAAGTAAATGTCTTTGGGTGTCTGAACAGAGTATGGAGTCTTTTCCCAAACAAGATACTTTGTGTGATAAAAAAGTGGGGAGTGAAGAGAATGATCAGATAGAAGAGCTAATGCGTAAGATGCCATCATTTCTTTGTTTCTTGATCAAAAGTAAATGTCTTTGGGTGTATGAACAGAGTATATAGTCTTTGCCCAAACGAGTAGCTTGACGTGTGACGCTATTAATATACAAATGTTATTAATTATGACAGTTTTTATTTAGGTTACAATTAGCTCACGCTTATTTGAGATTCATGCATCTTCTTCATTTATATATCAGTTACAAAAAGCAACTCCTCAAACACACAAAACTCCCTTTGACAAATCTGTAAAAACACAGCTTCTCTGTATCACAAGAAACTTTGATCGTAACAATGTGGAATGGTGATGGAACCGTGGAGGTCTATGGCTTTCGAGTTTTCTATTCAGAGGTAATCAAAACAATACCTCATTTTTAACTCTAATCTCATCATACTAAGTTTGGTTCTAGTTTTTACTTTTTACATTAATCTTGTTCTCAGGTGGATTGTGTGAGGAGAATCTTTGAAAAATACCCAGAAACCGCAACGAATATTCGTCCAAAGAACCAAATGGTGAAGAATGCTTACATGAACAACCTCCTCGACCTCATTGACATAATTTGCTTAGCTCCTCAGGAGCTAACAGAGGAGGAACTAAGAAATGCAGAGAGCCAGCTTTTGGAACTGGTAGAGGTAGGTTTCAAGTTGGATTGGCTGAAGAATAAGCTGGAAGAGCTTTGCGTGAAGAAGAAGAAAATGGAAGCTCGTGGGGCTCGAATGAGAGAACTCGATGGATTGATCATGGAACAGAGGCGGGTTTTGTGGGAGCTTGAAACCGAACTGAAGAATGAAGAGAACGAAGCTGTTTCCGACAGTGCTCGACTTGGTTTTGAGGATGTTGTTTGAATGAAAAGTCATCATCAGTCATGAGACCTAACGTTCTTAAGTTTCTTCTTACGTACTTAAGCATATGTGGCGTTATCTAATTACAAGAATGATTGAATAAAAGACCAGGATCTTTGTTACTTTAATTTCAAAAGTTTTCTTGGTATGTTCTTCTCCGATTAAGAGTTTCTTCATTCAGAATTAAAGGATGCCAATCGCAAAAGGAAATATAAATTTTATTCATCCAATTAATTTATAAAAATGTTTCAACAAAGGATGGAAAAAATTAGGTTCCCGGTAACGAAACCGGCATTGGGTGAATTGGGCCGAAATGGTGAATTGGGCTGAAGCCCATAAATGAAGACCAGAAAGAGAAGCGTGGTTTGATTTGGTAAATATGGGTGCCACTCTCACTCACTCTGGTTCTAAATTCTAGGGTTTTTCGACGGAGTCTTCAATGGGGATAATACGGAGTCCATTTGATAAGAACAAGTTCACTTGGGTGATCAAGGATTTCTCCTCTTTGCGATCTGAGATGATTTATTCTGACGAATTTGTTCTCGGTGGCTGCAAATGGTAAGAAACCACTTGTTTTTCTTTCTTATGTTTCCGTCGAATATTTGCTAGGGTTTTATGTGACACGTATCCGTTGCTTTGCTTGCAGGCGTCTTATGGCCTATCCCGACGGAGATAGGATTAAAAAGTATATGTCTTTGTATGTGGAAGTTGCTGATTCTAAACATTTGCCTTCTGGATGGAGTATACACACAGAATTGCGCATGGAAGTTGTAAATCACCATTTGTATAAGCCCTCCCAACAGAAATGTGAGTGTTTTTATACTAAACTGGACAAAAAAAGTTAAGATCTTTATGATTCTGTATTTCTGTTTATTATTGTGTGATGCTTGACTAGTGTTGTTTGTTTCGTAAAATTTCAGATAGAAAAAATTTTTGGTTTGATAAGAAGACTCCTGCCTGGGGTTATAAAACCATGATTCCACATTCTAAACTTTGTGGTGAAGAAGGGTTTTTGGTAAATGGAGAAGTCACAATTGTAGTCCAGATAGACGTTTATAGAGTTATTGGCAAAGTAGCTGCAATAGAGATTTCTGAAGAGGGATCTAAAGGGGGATATGAATATGAATCTGAAGAGGAATCTAAAAAGAAATCTGTAGAGGGATCTAAATGGGGATATGAATATGAATCTGAAGAGGAATCTAAAAAGGAATCTGTAGAGGGATATAATGGGGGATATGAATATGAATCTGAAGAGGAATCTAAAAAGAAATCTGTAGAGGGATCTAAATGGGGATATGAATATGAATCTGAAGAGGAATCTAAAAAGGATTCTGAAGAGGGATATAAAGGGAGATATGTATATGAATCTGAAGAGGAATCTAAAAAGGATTCTGAAAAAGATTGTGGAGAGGAATCTGAAAAGGGTTCTGAAGAGGGAAGCAGTCCTCTTAAAAAGATTAAGCGAAATGATGATCGTGTGGAGTCTAATGATTCAGTCAACAAGACTCAACATGAATCTGAAGGGGGATATGAATATGAATCTGAAGAGGAATCTAAAAAGGATTCTGAAAATGATTGTGGAGAGGAATCTGAAAAGGATTCTGAAGAGGGAAGCAGGCCTCTTAAGAAGATTAAGCGAAATGATGATGGTGTGAAGTCTAATGATTCAGTCAACAAGACTCAACAACTGAAGGAAACCATGGATGTCAATGGGTTTCAAGTTCTTCCTTCACAGGTAAGTGGAAATTTCAAACTCTTGACACATTGTTATCATTTGCCTCTTGTTGATTTTAGGACAAGAGGTGTAACACTTCTAAATATAGAGAAAAATTTACCTTTTCGTGAGTTTAAAAGTCAACCCCACCCTTGTGTTTCTGGATATGTATACATATGGGTTTTACTTTACGCATCCTTTTCAATTGCAGGAGAAATTTGTGAGCCGTATTTTTGAAAAATACCCAGACATTGCAGTAGGATTCCATGCAAAGAACCAACATCTTAGGACAGCATGCATGAATGTCCTCCTCAGCCTAATCGAGACACTGTGTCAGTCACCTCAGGAGCTCTCAAATGAAGATATGGTGGAAGCAGACAATGCTCTAACATATGTGAAAGATGCGGGCTTTAAGGTGGATTGGTTGGAGAAGAAGCTGGAGGAAGTAAAAGAAAAGAAGGTGGTAGGGCATACTGGTGAGACTCGGATTCAAGAGTTAGAGGAGGAAATGTTGAACATTATGTGTAAGTGGTCAGACATGAAAGCTGTACTGGAGAAGGAGAAGACAAAAGTGTTGGCAGCTAGAGCTCCTCTAACATTGGATGATTTTGTCTGATGACTTGGGTACTACTTGGTGTGTTCTTGTCTGTTCGTTTGAGTCTCCAGATCTCCTAATTAGAGTCCTCTTATAACTTAGGAAGGTAGAGTGACCCTTGTCGGAATCAAGTTTCCACATTTTGTAATGATGACTCGGTAGGATAATGTAATTAAAGCATGCTTGTAGTAACGAAAAATCAATGCCTTTTGGCTCATCAAGTCTATGAAACAGATCATCACCGGCAGAGAACTGAATATGTGTATAATAAGCTGTCAATATTAAGTATTGAGCTTCAGCAATCTTGACAGCATAATAAGCTATGAAACTGCAATTCACACAATCTGGGATTTGGTGACTTAAATGTTTCTGTTTGTTTCAGGACAGATCTCATCAAGACTTTAAGTAGCTGTCATTGAGTCATTGAGGTTGTTTGATTATTTCCTAGCTTGTAGATACATTTTCATGTCAATAGTTAGTTAAAGCTAAGATACGCACTCTGTTTCCAAGTCACAGTGCACTCAAGTTTATATGGTCGTTAATCTCCTCGAGCATAGCCATAAGCGGATAATGGGCCAAAACTTGTCAATTGGGCCGAAGTGCAGAAAGTGAAATCCATATATGGAGAGGCGGGGTTTGATTTACAAATTTGGATGTGTGGTTGTTAGTGCCACTCAGGTTCTAGGGTTTCACGCTCTCTACTAGTTTGAGCTTTCAATGGGCAATCTCGTTGATAACAAGTTCACATGGGTGATTCAAAACTTCTCGTCTTCGCAATCTAGTGCCATTCTTTCTAATCAATTCGTTGTTGGTGGCTGCAAGTGGTAAACATGATAAACTTTGTCTTCTAATGTTTTTTTGATACAATTTGGATTTTCTCTTTCGTTTTGGATGATGGTTCGTGTTTTTATTTTTCTAATGCAGGCATCTTCTTGCCTATCCCGAGGGATTAAATAAGTCTGATGATCATTTCTCGCTGTTTCTGGAAGTGGCTGATCATAAATCATTGCCACATGGATGGGGTAGACATGCACGTTATCGCTTAACTACTGTTAATCAACATTCTGATAAAATCTCCAAACGAACCGGTAATTATATCTTCTTACCCTTATTTCAACATAATTAATTAGTCAGATAAATCAGTTAAGGAATCTTTAGTTCTTAGGTCTTGTTGTATTGATGTCTTGTGAGGCTTGTTTTTGGACTTGGAATTAATTGTATGTTACTCAAGGGTGTTTGTGCTTTTTTTTTCAAGTTTTCTGCCAAGTTTTGAATATACAGGTTCATAGTTAAATGTACATATTAATTAGATGAATTCTGTTTTTGTGATTTTACAGAAGCAAGCAAGTGGTTTGATCAAAAGACTCCAGGTTGGGGTTTGTCAGGAATGCTTCCCCTTAGTAAACTTCATGCCAAGGATGGTGGGTTTCTTGTGAACGATGAACTCAAGATTGTTGCTGAGGTCGATGTTATTGAAGTTATTGGCAAACTAGATGTATCCGGGGAATCTGAAGAGGAAACCCAACCTATGAAAAAGATAAAGGTAGATTATGATCATGTGGAGACCCCACCGGTTAGTGAACTCATGGACGTCAATGGTTTTCAAGTCCTTCCTTCCCAGGTAAGAAAACTTTGAGAAAGATGAAAACTTTGTAGAAATTTCAACCTCAGTGAGAGTTATCAATATTTTCAGTTTCTTGGTTTGTATATATATATATATATATACCTTATTCATCCTTTTTAAACTCACTTTCAGGTGGCTTTTGTGAAGTGTATTTTTGCAAAACATCCAGACATTGCAAAAGAGTTCCGTCCAAAGAACCCACATCTGAGGAAAGCATGCATGACTTTCTTGCTCAGCTTGATAGAGACATTGTGCCAACCGCCTCAGAAGCTATCCAATGAAGATCTTGTGGAAGCAAACAATGCACTGACATACGTGAAAGTTTCGGGCTTTAAAGTGGATTGGTTGGAGAAAAAGCTAGAGGAAGTGAAGAAAAAGAAGGAGGAAGAACAAACTGGTGTGACTCGGATTCAGGAACTAGAGGAGGGATTGAAGGACTATAAGCAGAAGTGCTTAAACATGGAAGCTATGTTGGAGAAAGAGAAGGCAAAGCTGTTGGCCGCTAGAGCTTCTCTAACATTGGATGATGTTATTTAATGACTTTGGCATGTTCTGATGTTTGTTTGTTTGTGTGTTCGTTTCAGTCTATGTTTCGAAATTGGCTTCCTCTTAAAACTTAGGAAGCTAGAGAGACTTTATGTGTCTTCCTTTTTTTTTCTTTTTTGTAATTGGTTTATGGATAATACTAAATCTGAAAATATAGTTTTGTACCTTGGAGAGGAATGGCTAATACTGTACAAAGGTTGATGCCTTCATTTTCAGCTATCAAATCAATAGGGAAAACCAGTTTCCATTAGGATAACTTTTTAATTCTCTTCAAACCTCATTAGTGAATATTTTTTCGTCACTAAAGCAAAGGATTTTGGAATAAAAGCAGCAATGAAACGAACACACACAAGCCAGAAAAACGAGAATGTGAGCTCATATAAAAACCATAATTGTGTGGGTTTCACGTCCTCTTCATATTCGTACGTGTTATCAACTTCAATGTGCATAAATAAATCTTAATCATCAATGAGAAATGATAAATTTTCCTCTTTGCTTTCTCTGTAAGTAACCTTTGTTGGTCATAAATAGGACTCGCTAGGTATTTTATATAACTAATCAAAGCAGCACACATAATGTGCGAAATTATAATTAAAATTCAGATTCAGTTGGATTTGGTTCAAATTTGGATAAAATGTAGTTAAATAATGATTAATTAAATGTAATTTAAAGTATCTTTTTAATATATTTTAACTTATATATAAAAATTGAAATATTAGCTGTTAATAAATGCTTATTTAGTTTATTATGTTTGATGAAACTATTTTGATGTGGAAATTTATGTACTTTTCGTAGTATTATAAAATTTAGATTTAGTTTCACGTTAGTAAATTTGTTGGAATGAACCAAATAAAATCTTATTAACATAACTTCATATTCGGTTTAGTATAAGTATTTATATATTATTCATAAGTTTGTAATAAAATTGGTTTAATTTTACGTTGATGAATTTTTGTAACACAACCAAAGAAAACTTCATTGATTAATATTTTATATCATGATTTAAGAAAATTCAATTTAGAAAAAATTGTAAGAGAAAAATCAAAATCAAATTGTTTATGTTTATTTATGTTTTAATATAACCATTATTTGAGTTTAAGTTGAGTTAATTAATTGTGGAGATTAAAAGGTGAGAGTTTAAAACTCCCAAAAAAAAGTTAAAAGGTTGTTACGTAAACACGACCCCGATTGTTTCTTTTGATTTAGAATTACCATGGGGAGATAAATAGGCCCAACTAAGTCCACAAATTTGTGACCGTGAAGCTTTACTATGGGCCGACAAATAGCCCGAATTTCCCGTAAACTGTAGTATTACTTTAGCCCCTGTACAAGCTTTATTATGCATCTGGTTTAGTCTTGGTGGCACTGTGCTTTCCACACTTGTGTTTGCTTACTATATTTGTGTGCCACTTGGGTTCTAGGGTTCCACGCCATCTCAATGTGCTGACTGTTCAATTGCAAAGTAGTCTTAGAATGGGGGAAGAAGCTGATAACAAGTTCAGATGGGTGATTAAAAAGTTCTCATCTCTGGGATCCGAGAGAGTCTTTTCTGACATATTTGTGGTCGGTTCTTGCAAATGGTAAGAAAGATAACTTGTTCTTTGATGTTATGTAGGTTGATATGAATGAACACATCTCAATATATTCAATGACTTTTTGGTTGCTTGCAGGCGTCTTATGGCCTATCCCAAAGGAGTCAGGGATGATAGATGTTTCTCTCTGTTTCTGGTGGTTGCTGATTTCAAAACTTTGCCTTGTGGCTGGAAACGACACACAAGATTGCGCCTAAATGTTGTTAATCAACTCTCGGAAGAACTTTCCATACTGAAAGGTAACAACTTTATGATATTTTTTATAAGATTGTTCCTAAATGTTGACAAACCAATGTTTCGGTTTTTATGATTACAAAGATTCTGTTTTTTTTTTTGAGTTTGTATGTTTCGTGATGTTACAGAAACACAAATGGGGTTTCTGGTGAATGATGAGGTCAAAATTGTTGTGGAGGTTGATGTTGTTGAAGTTATTGGAAAATTAGAGGAATCTGAAGAGGCAACACAACCTCTGAAAAAGGTAAAGCTAGAGGCTTTTGTGGAATCGAAAGATTTGCTTAAGGAAACTTCATCAGTAAAGGAAGAAATCATTGATGTCAATGGGTTTCATGTTCTTCCTTCCCAGGTAAATAAGTTAATAAAGATGCAAACTTTTTGAAACGTTATCATTTGCTTTCTGGATATGTATACTTATGGGTTTAATTTTATTGTTTTCATTTGCAGGTGGAATTTGTTAGCCCTGTTTTTGAAAGATACCCAGAAATTGCATCAGTATTCCAGGCAAAGAAGCAACATTTGAGAACCGCATGCATGTATGTCCTCCTCAGCCTAATCGAGACACTGTGCAAGTCACTGGAAGAGCTCTGCAGTGATGATCTTGTGGGAGGTGACAATGCATTACAATACCTGAAATTTTCGGGCTTTAAGGTTGATTGGTTGGAGAAGAAGCTGGAGGAAATTAAGGTAAAGAAGAAGGACGAACAAATTGGTGAAAGTCGTATGCAAGAATTAGAGGAAGAATTGAAGCTTTTTAAGAAGTGCTCAGATATAGAAGCTCTTATGGAGACAGAGAAGACAAAGTTGTTGGTCACCAGAGGTTCTCCTCTAACGTTGGATGATGTTCTTTGAAGACTTCTGGTACTATGCGTTTGCTGTCTAGGTTTCAAAATTAAAGACTTCCCTTTGAAATTGGAAGTTCCCACATTTTGTATAGAACCAAATTTTTTGGTAGTAAATGTTAAGAAGCTGATGATTTTTTTATTAGCCTTCGTTGCTCGTCAGAATTTTTGAGACTGAGATATGTAGTACTCTATTTCTAGGTCACCAAATCAACATTAGTACATTAATGTTCTAGTGATATTTCTTTTAACCTTTCAATTTTCACTAATAGCTTGCAAACTGAGTCAATTTTCCAGTGCTTAAAAGGTTTGATTATGTAGCCATCCACTTATGTTCAGACGATTTAAGACTTTTCTTATGGTCGTCTTTATCCAGTATAGTTCTTGGAAGAAGAATCCGATACTAAACAGAGATTTTATGTGTAATCATAACTCGATTCAAATAACAGAGAGAAAGGGAAGAGAATGATCAGCTAGAGCTAATACGTAAGATGCCATCATGTCGGCGATCAAACCAATAGGGAAACAATGTTCAATCATCACTTCATTCTCTTCTCTTTCTATATCTCTCTCTATTGACCCAAAATCAATTGAATAAAAAAGACTTTTTCGAGTATAATTGAGGAAGAAGAAGAAAGATCAGTTAGAGCTAATACGTAAGATGCCATCATATCGGCTATCAAACCAATAGGGAAATCTAATTCCATCATCATATCTCTCTTCTCTTCAAAAATAAAATTCTAATAGAAATCGATAATTTTACTTTTCCCCAAAAACAGAGAATTCTAAGAACAAAATAACGAGGCGAATAAAAACGCAACCTTAAACTAGAAGATATCAATGGGTACTGAAACAGAGACGGCGAGAGAATGTGAGTTCTGAGAAGGCTTGATTGAGTTTGAGGAATATATATACGCAGTTACATGACGGTCGATAAAAACTAGGGTTCTTTATGGTTTCCTAATGAAAATACGTAATCACCCCTACTTGTTTTTTCGATTCGAAATATTATTGGGCCCCCAACTAAGTCCAGAATTTTGTGATGGTGAAGCTTTCTTATGGGCCTAAATATGGACCCAATTTTCCGTAAGCTGTATTTGGCCTTGTTTACTTGGTGTGCTTTTTAGTCTTTTTTGTTTTTTTTTTTGGTTAGTGACACAGTGGTAATAATGGTGATCCAAATTGTAAAGATATATTTCCATGGAATGTGGATTTGGCGAGAACTCGATCGCCAAGATTTTGATCTTTGTTAACTTCTTTAGTCTCTAACATGAATTAGTTTGGAAAATCCGTTTACACTGTCTGAAAAATTCAATGTTCTAGGAACATCCCCATGAGATATAAGGTCAATGGAAGTTAAGCTGTTTCTTTTGAGGTTAACTGTTTTCAGTCAACACTTGTAGAGTTATGAATTGTTAGAACATCATAAGATTAGGGTTTTCAAACCTAATCTAACACCACCACCACACTCATCTAATCGTAATTAATTAATTAATTAAACATCATTATAGTTTCTGTAAAGGAAAACGATATAAAAATTGAATAATTATAAGTTGCCTTGGATATTGGTTCTTCTTTTTAAAGAAATATAAACATATGAATCATGTTGATTTGTGTTAACTAACTGTTATGCATTATGTCCCATATCAATCTATTTCTTAAGAAAAATCTCCAACTTGTGTGCATCACATAACATAAAGTCGTTTTCTTTTATCAGACATTATTAAGTGTGTCTTCGTAATATATTTATTATACTTTTTCTTTTCTAGCCACAATTCTCCTATTTGTCGGGCTTAATTAATAGTCACATACTCACATATATTTATTTATGTTATCTTCTTTTTTCCCACCCAAAAATATCCAATAGTACAGTATTTGACTGATCACATTTGTAGTTTATTTATAAAAGACTCACATAAATGCCTCTTTTTTAATACCCCTTTTCAAAAATGCCCCATTTGGCTGTCCATTTTTAAAAATACCTCTTTTTATGTACAAAATGACTAAATTACCCTTCTTTTAATAAAAGATATCACAAATATATAAGGAAATATAACAAAATTAGGTCCACAAAATACAAAATATTTTTTGGCGGGAAAAGTGATCCCGCAATTTTTCCCGCCAAAACACTTGTAAAAACTTGTAAAACCTTTAAAATACCTTGTAAAATTTTTCCGTAAAACTTTTTCCCGCCAAAAAATTTTCCCGCCAAAAAATTTTTTTTGCGGGAAAAGTGATTCCGCAATTTTTTTGGCGTTAAGTTTTTTGCGGGAAAAATTTTCTCGCCAAATATTTACAAGGTATTTTAAAGGTTTTTTACAAGGTATTTATAAAGTTTTAGATGTATTCTAAAAGGTTTTACAGCGTGTTTACAAGGTATTTTAAAGGTTTTTTACAAGGTATTTATAAGGTTTTACAATGTATTTTAAAAGGTTTTACAACGTATTTACAAGGTATTTATAAGATATTATAAGATTTTACAAGCTATTTTATAAGGTTTTTACAAGTTATAAGGTTTTACAAGTTTTTTATAAGGTTTTACAAGTTATAAATACCTTATAAAACCTTATAAGTACCTTGTAAAACCTTTTAAAATACATTGTAAAACCTTACAAAACACTTGTAAATACTCTGTAAAACCTTTAAAATACCTTGTAAATTTTTCCCGCCAAAAAAATTTCGCAAAAAAAATTGCGGAATCACTTTTCCAGCAAAAAAAATTTTTTGGCGGGAAAATTTTTTGGCGGGAAAAATTTTTACGGGAAAATTTTACAAGGTTTTTTAAAGGTTTTTACAAGTGTTTTGGCGGGAAAATTGCGGGATCACTTTTCCCGCCAAAAAATATTTTGTATTTTGTGGACCTAATTTTGTTTCAAATAAGGGTAAAATGGTCATTAAAAATTAAAAGAAGGCAAACTTAAAAATGGACTCTCAAAGGGGGCATTTTTGAAAAGGGGTATTGAAAAATGGGCATTTTTAACAATTTCTCTTTATTTATTTGTATTAGTATATATCATTGGTATATTGTCATCTGATTCATCCAGTGTTGTGTATATTTGAGATATAAACAATTTAAAAAATATACAAATGTGCTTAGATATGGTTAAATGGGATATGTTTGGAAATGATCATGTTAGTATATTGTAAGTTAGAAAATATATAAAATAATATATATAATAGATATAGAGTTATAGACTAATCTACTTATTATCAATTAGTTTTGAACCAAAAAAAAGTCATCTTTAATTTTTCACATGATATTTAAGCATTGTTTTGTTGATCCAAGTAGGATGTACTCGTTGATCAGTTTTAAGTGAAATTCGGGTTATGCATGTAAGAAATATCATTTTAATTGGGCGTATTAAAATCTTATATTATAAACTAACAAAAACACAAAATAATGTATAAGAGACATAAGTCAAACAAATAATACTCTGATTTAGTTTTTTTTTAGAAAAATTAATAATAACCATTTCGAAAAAAAAAAAACAGCTAACATCTCATAATTTTAAAATATTTCTTCAAATTAAATTTATAGTTCATAACCAAAATAATTACAAAGAAAAAAAACATATATAAAGTTGAATTTGTTTCACCCTAGCTTTGTTTGTTCTTTATCCAAGTAGGATGTATGAACAAATTTTGGTTTTTAATTGTAAGATTAAACAAATTTGAGACCTATTTGCAAATAAGTTTATACTGTATATTTTAGAAACTTTTGGGGCCAAAACCAATGTTTCATTGAGCTTCGCTCAAAACCGGCCATGTCTACCCGAAACATTGATATTCAAATATGTAATCTGTAACATATGTATGTAAGTCGGAGGTGAATGCCAAGCAATCAATTTTATCTAAAATTTTATTTGTATCGATTTCTTCTGTTTCATTAAGGATTAGTAATATCTCGTAAATTTCAAAATACTAATAAAGACATGCAGAAAATTTGTTTTTGTGGACAAACAAAATTTCACTAGCCTAAAAATTAGCCAAAGTCTGATAACACTGATCTAGAAAACACAAAATTTACAAGTTGTATACTTCTAGTTTCTCAGACCAATCACTATCAGTTTTGAATATTGGTTCTAATTAATTGACAATTCGTCATGTTAAATTGGAACTCAGACGTAAGCTTTTACGAACCATATATTCCCACGTACATTAGTTTTATCTCTAATAATTAGTAGTTACAAAGTTGTCTTTCCCTAGCCGCATTTTGCCTCGTGTTTATTATCATCTTTTACTGTTTCCTTTCCGAATTCCGAATGATTGGTTTTTCATTTGTTGTTCTTTTCTCTTTTTGCTTCTGCCTGTATATTTATAGACCCACATATATATATTTCTCCTACGATACTTAGAGTATGATTGGAAGACATTAATAGAAGAAAAAAAAAGAGTGGAATTAGTTTTCTTCTACATTTACACCAATCAAGAAGAAAATGTTTTCTTCTCAATTCTTCTGAAAGAGCCAAAAAGTATAGAAAACTTTTCCTCTACAAAACTAAAGTAGAAATAATTCTTCTAAAAATGTATTTTTTTTTCTCCTTATAATTCTTCTCAATTCTACTTAAATTTTCACCAGTCACACCCTTAATTATATTTAAAATTTGATGCCACCGAATATTTTAGATTATCAAGTTTATTTCAAAACGTCCATTCTCGATCGTGTATTTGTGTTAATTATCTTTATAAAAAAAATCATAAGTCCAAAAATGATTATAACACATATAGAAATAGAAAATTGGGTTATTTAACCAAATTTTCCTTTTTATAATTATTTTTGCAAAGTGAAACTGCAAACATTTTTTTTTCTTAAAAAATCATATGTCTAAAACAAATGCAATGCAAAAAAACACAAAAGAAATTTCAGTGGCCAAACTATTAACTAGCCCTTTAAAAATAAAAATAAAAATAAATAAAAAACTATTAGCCTACAAAGTATAAATAGTTTTTTTGTTACTATTACTAAGTTTATGTCAATTTTGTGTTTTTTTTGTGTGGGTAATATATATATCCTTATGGTTCATGCTTATACACATAAATTACTCGTCTCTTAAGAAAAACAATATTTTCTCATTTTGTATATTACGCCTCTTAAATATAATTTGGAAGGTATATTAATTGCACCGATTATTTGCACACAAAAATACAAAATTGATTATCAGTACTAGTTTATATTTTATAAGACAACTTTGTTTGTCACGTCTCACTAACTTAATTGATTTGAGTAAACCATCTCCTTATATTGTGGTTTAGACTTTGAATTATTGCC